GGCTTTTTTTCTTTTTGCTTGTGTGGTGCTAAGGAATCGAACCCAGGGCCTCAGGCATGCAAGGCAAGCGCTCTACCACTGAGCCACCTTTCCAGCCCAGATTTTTTTTTTTTTTTAATGACTATTTGGGCAGGGTGCTGGTATCTCACACCTGTCATCTTAGCAACTTGGATCGTTGAGATCTGCAGGAACATGGTTCAAAGGTAACGCAAGCAGAAAAGTCCATGAGATTCAATCTCCAAAATAATCTGCCAAAAGCAGGTCTGGGGGCCTGGGTCAAGTGGTAGAGCACCAGCTGAGCAAACAAGCTGAATAAGGGCGAGGCCCTGAGTTCTTTGCACCCTCAATAGTAGTGGTGCTGGCCGGGGCAGCAGCAGAGTGGCCTTCTGAGGGCCAGAGCTCCCCATATTTCACCCCCCCTTCCCCGCCCTCTGCAGTGGTATCCTGAGGTGTCTCACTTCTGCAAGGATGTGCCCATTATCGTAGTGGGCTGCAAGACTGATCTTCGAAAGGATAAGGTGCTGGTGAACAGGCTGCGGAAAAATAAACTGGAGCCCGTGACCTACCACAGGGTAGGAAGCCTAGCCTGGGGTTGGAGGGACAGGAGGGGCACCTGTCTGGTGGGGAAGGCCTGGGAGAGGGAGGGGAGGGAAGGGCACCATGCTAGCTGGAGTGTAGAACTGCCAGGCTGAAGTGGTATCTGAGATGCTTTGGAATGTTCCACCCAGAGAAGGAAGAAGAGAGTGAGCATGCCACAGTTAATCCTAGCCTAACTAAGCCCCCATCGGAGACAGGGAAACAGGCCCATGGGGATGGTCCGATACTCAATCTGTGGCCCCCTCTCTTGTTGCATGGGGGCCTGGGGTCGTTGGAAGTTAATGAATTGGTGAGTTGAAAGGCAGAGATGTGTCAGGCATGGTGGCCTGTAGCCCCACTATTTGGGAGGCAGAGGCCGGAGGACTGAGTTGGAGGCCAGCCTGGGCTACAGAGGCAGAGACCAGCACTGAGACAGGAAACAGTGTGAAGTGCAACAGAGTGCTGCTCAAGCCATGTACAGGAGCTGAAGATTCTCTAAAAACAGCACCACCATAGCCGGCCACCAGTGGCTCACACCTGTCATCCTAGCTACAGGAGACTGAGGTCTGAGGATCGTGCTTGAAGCCAGCCCAGGCACGAAAGTCCGTGAAACTCTTACCTCCAATTAAGCACCAAAAAAAAAAAAAAACTGGAAGTGGAGCTGTGGCTCAAATGGTAGAGCACCAGCCTTGAGCAAAAAAGTCTCAGGGATAGTACCCGGGCCAGAGTTCAAGCTTCAGTACAGACACACGCACACACACGCACGCACACGCACACACACACACACGTGCGTGCACACGCGCACAAGTCCCCACCTTTCACTGCTGTCCCACAGACTCCCTACATTGCTAAGAAGGCAATAGGAAGACACCCCCCATCCCCCCGTGGCCACCCTTTTCCCTCACAGTAATCCCCGTGATGTCTCCCTGTCAGGGCCAAGAGATGGCAAGATCTGTGGGTGCCGTGGCCTACCTCGAGTGTTCCGCTCGCCTCCACGACAATGTCCACGCCATCTTCCAGGAGGCAGCCGAGGTGGCTCTGAGCAGCCGCAGTCGCAACTTGTGGAGACGCATTACCCAGAGTTTCTGCGTGGTGACCTGAGCCGCTGTCCCTGCTCTGGACTGCCCTCATTGCCCAAGAAGGAGCCTGGGGCCGACTGCCAAGTAGGCTGAACCCAGGCACCAGTCCGGACTTCCACAGATGAGCACTGGGAACTTAGAAAAGGGGTGCCCCAGGACCCCCAGCCCTGGAACTGTTAGCTGAGTCCCAGCACCCAGATCTGTACCATCATCCTGAGTGGCTTGTACAGCCTGGACGGGCGCCACCTGGTGGCTGCTTCCAGGGTTGCACCTGCAAGTTCTGCCAGAACCCACACTCTACCTCTTCCCCTCCTCCCTACCTGTAAGTGTAACACTAAAATGACGCCCCTTGCCATCTGTGTCCTGCCTCTTGCTTCAGAATATTATTATATGCATTCCACAGTGGGCAGGAGTTCAGCCCGCACAGGCAGTGGAAGGGGACCGCTTGCATCCAGGCCTAGCTTTATTATGTTCATGACCTTAAAAAAGTTCTTCTGGACCTTAGCCTCTGTAAAACAGGATCAGAAACTACGTCATGGAGCTTTGGAATGAGTAAAAAGGTCCTGAGGGCCAATGCATGCAGAGAGCTTAGGAGGTGTCTAACACAAAAGGTATGCTCTAATTTATCCAGCCTATTAGACTTCTCCAGAGAAGCAGAACCGAGAGCACGTGCACACACACACACACCACAATGGAAGGTATTTAAGAAATCAGCTCATTGTTAACTGGGACTGGTAAGTCTAATTCTTGTAGGGCAGGCTGTAATTCAGGTGAGTCGGAGTTGCTATTTAACATCCACAGAGCAAAGGACTGCAAACTCCGGCAGAGTTTCTGGGTTTTTGAATTGAGGCAGAATTCTTTCTTTAGGAAACCTCATTCTTCTCTTAAGTTCTTCAGATGATTAGACAAGGCCCACACATGCTGTAAAGATTCTCCTGTTTTATTTAAAATCTACTGATTTAACCAGGCTCTAGTGACTCACTTCTGTAATCCTGCTTACTCAGAAGGCTGATATCTGAGGATTGTGATTTGAAGCCAGCCAGGGTAGGAAAGTCCAGGAGATTCTTATCTACAATAAACTACTCAGAAAAAGCTGGAAGTGGTGCTGTGGCTCAAGTGGTAGTGTGCTAGCCTTGAGCATAAAGAGTCTAAGGTCAAGCCCCAGGAGTGGCAAAAAGAAGAAAAAAAGCCAGATGCTGGTGGCTCAGGCCTCAGGAGACTGAGAACTGAGGATCACGCCAATTCAAAGCCAGTCCAGGCAGGAAAGGCCATGAGACTTATCTCTGATCAACCAACAAAAGAGGTATGATTCAAGTGGTAAAGCACCAGCCTGGAGCAAAACAGTTAAGGGACAGTGTCCAGGCCCTGAGTACAAGCCCCAAAGTACTGCCACGTGCACATATGAACACAATCTTCACTAGGATTTGGGCCTTACTGAGAACTTGGATTGTGTTTACCTTACTGTGAAAAAAGCTTGACTTTCAGCCCAGAGCACCTGGGTATGGAGTAGATTTGAGTAGCTCTGGCTACCATTTCATGGTTTGCTTCAGGTTAAGCCCTCCCACAGGAGAGTTCATTCAGACCACAAAAGAAGCTGGGCTAGATGAGAGGACAAAGGAAGGAGGGGCCTCCTTTAGGAAGTGGCTCCCCCTAAGTCCTTGCAGATTCGAAGTACCACAGTGAGTGAGCTTCTTACAGAATTGGTGCCCAGGACTGTCTAACACGAGGACTCAGTCCAGCAAGCTCTATCCTGGACTTCAGTCCTAAATGCCATACTGCAAATGCCTTTTACCCAGGTATCTGGGCTCCCAAGGAGCTCACCACTTAGGAAGACCAGAAAGCCCAGAACAGTCTTGTAGTCTAGGTGATCCTCACACCTCCCCTCCTCCCACTCACCATCACGATAGTGCTTGAGTGGGGCCTGCTGCTGGGGGACCAGGTGGTTTGCTCCCAGTCCCTGCCGGTTGAGAAGGTCAGCTGGAGGAGTCAGGCCAAGAAGCAGGCTGAGTGGTGCCAGGGGAACCTCACCGAAGAGTCATGAACTTGAATGTATTGGGTTCCTGCCAAGTTGGTTTCAGAGAAGGACATGGTGGGCAGAGGCAGAGGTGAAGTTCAACTAAGGACATGGGTGGGAAGGTCAGGGTCAAGGTGAAACTATTTCCTTTACTCTGGGTAAAGAGGAAATGGGTTAGGTCAGGGAACTGGAGGGCCTGAAGCGTCCTCTAGTTGGGGGAGACAGACTGTCCGGCCTGGGGGGGAACGTGGCTAGAAAGGCTCATCCTTGCCAGGGAGGTGTGATTGACCTTGCAGCCCTGGCTTCTTCAAGAGGGCTCTTTAGTGTGCACACATGCATGTGTGTGTGTATGTGTATGTGCACACTAGTCCTGGGGCTCAACTCAGGACCTGGCTGGTGTCTCTTAGCTTTTTCATTCAAGGCTGGCACTCTACCACTTGAGCCACACCTCCACTTCTGGTTTTTTGGTGGTTCATTGGAGATAAGAGTCGTTTCACAGACTTTCCTGTCCTAGCTGGCTTTGAACCATGACTCTCACGTCTCAGCCTCCTGAGTAGCTAGGATTGCAGGCATGAGCCACTGGTGCCAGGTAAGGAGGGCTTTTTTTACTTGCTTCCAGAGCTGATCACCTGCCTCCATACTGGTATGCTAGCTCTAAGAACACAGGCTGGGTTCAGTGGAATCCCCAGCACCTCAAAAGTTCTGGGCCTCAAAATGCTCTTAAGCCCAGAGCTAAATGAATGGGAGCAGATAGGGAAGGAGTGTTGTGAAGCCAACTTGGCTGCAAGCCTTCTCCTATCTGCCTAGCATCCCCTCTTGCGCTCCCTGGCTCCAGGCTCTGGGTCTCCCCTGCCCAGGAGGAGATCTGGTATCCCCAGCTGGGAGCTAGGCTATCCCGTATTATCCAATGTCTCTCTAGGCCTTGTCCCCAGGACACCTCAGCACCACACCCAAGAGCGCCGACCTCCCCCCAGACCATGTCTAGGCTCTGTTTGTTCCCTGCTAACGTGGCCTTTCTCAAAGTCTTGGTGGAACAATCCTTCAGGGTCTCTCCTGTTTGGACATGTTCCCCAGGGAAGCAGGGCCCAGCCAGCTCCCTGTGCTCACAGGCCGAAACCTCCATCCTCTTCATGGGCCTCTTGACCTAGAATCCCGCCCTGTCTCCCCAGCTGGGAGGGGAAGGGCCTGGCTGTGGAGTCTTTTGGACGCAACATTGGTAGCAGGAGAAGGTGGTGGAGGGGGGAGGCGGGAACCAGGAGACCAGTTGGGCAGCTGTGTGCAGACATCCAGAACAAGTTGCTACAAGTTAAGGCTTGGTGGCTTGTGGGTTGGGAAGCCTTGCATGAGGCCTGCAGAAGGGGTGGAGACACAGAGAGTGGGGGTGGGGGGGAGAATTCAACCTCTCCCCCTGGGTGAGAAATAGCAGAAGAGGCCATGGTGTTCCAGAGGCAGCCTGTGTCCCTGTCCAGTGTGTCAGGCCCTCTCTGGTGCACTCCACCCACAGCCATCCTGGTTGACAGAAGAGAGCACGTGGGGGGGGGGGTCCTGTGGGAAAGCAGCTCCTCCCTAATTCAACACCATCCCCCCCCTGCCCCCTTTCAGTTCCTCTCAGCCTTACAGGGGCAGGCTGAGGCCAGTCAGGGCCAAGAGCCACAAACCACAGGACCTCCACCCAGCCTTGGGGGGTGTCTGCTGGCACCTCCTCCAGGACTGGCTACTCCTTGGCATCCCTGGGGGAGGGGGGAGCGGGGCGGGGCCCCCTGTGAGTCACGACGCACTGGGGAGGAAGGAGGTGGTGGCTGATGAGAAACTTTTACGCCCTGCTCTTTGCTCTCTGGGGCCTCTTAGCTCCCCGGCCTATCCTGTGGAGCATGAAAAGCCACGGAGCTCAAGAAGTCATCCCAGAGCGGAGCCAATGAAGCCTGCAACCAAGCCAAGCAGCAGAGGGCTTTTTTGTTGTTGTTGGTGGTGGTCAAGGGGCTTGAACTCGGCCTGAGTTTAGTCCCTAAGCTTTTTTGCTCAAGGCTAGCGCTCTACCCCTTGAGCCACACTTCCGGTTTCCTGGTGGTTGATTGGAGATAAAAGTCTCCAGGACTTTCCTGCCCAGGCTGGCTTCAAACCACAATCCTCAGCTCTCAGCCTCCTGAGTAGCTGGGATTACAGGCGTGAGCCACAGCACTCCGCATTGGATCCCCAAGCTACAAACTTCTGATGAGTAAGGTTAGATCATTATTCATTTTTGTGCCAGTACTGGGATTTGAACTCAGGGCCTAGGCTCTGTTCCCTTAGCTTTTTTCATTCCAGGCTGACATTCTACTATAGTATCAGGCCGTAGACCCCCCCCCACCCAAAGACCACCAGGGAACCGTCACCGATATAAATGCACGAGAGCCGTTTATTACAACTTGAGCCAGACTCAAAACCCTTCCTGACGCCGCAGGTCCGAAATGTGAGCTCCGACCCCTTGTCCAGCAGGGTTTTATTGAGTGTGCAGCAGGGGGAAGGATCATTACAACATTGGTTATGTGACTGGTCGGCGGTTCGTGGGTGAATCTTGTCTTAAGCTCATTGGTTAGGGGTATAATCATGTCTAGTAAGGGTAGGGGCTTTCCAGCTTAATGGCTACAGGATAGGTTAAAGTATATATAGCAAGCATGTCATTGGTAAGGGTAAGCAGGTAAGCAGGGCTAACTACAGGAATCCCCTTTCATTGCCCTGTCCTGAATTGCTTCCCGATGGGGTTGGGGGTGACTGATCCAGGCGGTCTGACCTCTTGGACTGTGCTGATACTGTTACATTGTCTTGGAGCAGGCACTAACACCTATTATCCTCCAATAAACAGATGGCAGATGTTTTTCTTAAAGTTTTGTTACTGCTGAACTTAGTTTTGGTCTCTCACTACTACAGGAGACATGACTCTACTTGTGACCTTTTGCTGGTTAATTGGAGATAGGAGCTCCCAGACGTTTCTTCCTGCTTTGGCCTCAAACTTCAATCCTCAGACCTCAGCTTCCTGAGTCACGAGGACTCACTATCAGGGCCTGGAAAGACCTCCCTCTATAGCAGAGCAAACAGGTTCAGAGAGAACACGAACAGGACCTAAAGCATGGAGGAGTGGGGCTGGGCACTACTGGGTCATGGAAGGGAGGAGCAGCGGTCCTCCTTGTAGAGCTGGCCACAGTGTTGGACCTTGACCAGCAGAGGGCAGCAGGGATCAGGGAGAGGAGCCGCTCCCAGCCTGGAGTTGGTAGGGCCTAAGTGGAGAGCTCTGTGGCCATCCCACCATGATTTTACTG